TACAGGTTCAAAAACTCAGTATCAGTGAGTTTCCTACGTCTTGGGGCCTAAAGAGGGTTAAACGCCCTATGATATTGCTCTTTATTCAAATCAAGATTCAGAAGCAGAGTTTACAGTATACAATTTCAGGTATACAAGAGTTAAAGCATATGAAGAAACTATAACAGGTAAACAGATCAACAAGAAATACAATCTTGAAACAAAACATCAAGATCTATGAATCAGAACCGTAAAGTTAGAGAGGACTTCCCAATCTTTGAGCCAGCAAAGGAATCGTCGTTCTTTTCACACGATCTACAAGCTGATCAACATCAGCTTCATCGATCTTCCTCACAAGATTGAACTTCCAACTCTTTGAGCACTAATCAGAAAAGTACATTGATCAATAGAACCGTCTTGTTGAGCTGAACAAGTTTCTCCAAAGCACCATTGACTAATTCTCAGTATATCCCTCATTATTTGCAGATTGATACACACTCACACAAACCCTAACGAACAGCCTTTCGAGAGAGTTCTTAAGATGGTAGCTAAAACTGATATCACGTGTTCTGTATCAAAAAGAGCTCAGCTGAAGGGTTACCATTTGCCTTCACAAAGCAAAACGAAAGCGTTTTGCTTGTTTTGCTAAAAAATGGGCCTCAACCACTTCACTTGGCCCAATAGTAAAATAATGATAAGAAATATGCAACCGATAAAAAGAATAGCCCAATAGGTAAATATAGAGAAAAATATCTATGTTTATGAAATACATATAACAGATGGGTTTTAGGTTTCAGTTTTAACTTCGCTAGTAGAAATATGAAAATCGAAACTTACATATTCCCACAAAACTGACTTTAATGAGCTGTTATGGAGTTAGAGACTTAAAGTTAGGTCTGTATAGGGATGTAATATCTCGCTGTGTATTCAGTCAAGGTAGCAGTTGTATATACCATAAATCTATGAGAGTCACTTTAACTAAGTGCTATCTCAAGTATGCCAGGGAGAGGAAGAATGTATAAGGACACGATTACTTTACAATTTAGCAGAGTAATAGCTTATAAAATTAATGGGCGCAAGATGTCTCATTATGTGGAGAAAGTAATATATATCAAAATATTCCCCAATATTATAAGAGAAAAAGAGTAAGCTTTTAAGTATGAGGAACTGCTCCACGTACGTTAGGTGAGCTGTCAGAGAGTCAGTGAAGAATTCTTTATAGTGAAATTCACATGCTCACTACATGGAGGTAGGGGAGTGACCCACCTTTACTGACTGACCCAGATATGTTGCGTTAGGAATCAAGTAGTTTAAATGGTTCAATAATATGTACCAAAAAAAAAAGTGGTTCAATAATGATGGTCAATGAATTCAATTTCATATTTCATAATGGGTGGACATTGAAAAGATTTGTCCCTCGCTACATGAGGGGACATATTGCTGTCCCACAGGACACAATATCAAAAAACTAAAAATACCTTCGATCACCACTAAATATTTCTATCCACTCTCACATGTTGATGATGATATCATTTTACAACTCTCTAGTTTTATGTTGTTGTTCGGATCTAATTGAATGAACAATATCAAGCAGCGTAATTTAAAACATCAAATCTTTAAATTTGCGCGAAGATGCAAAAGCATTTGCAACTTATTAGTTTGAATTTGCAAACCCTTTAAATCCAGCGTGATTGAAAGATAAAAGGACCTTGCTAAGAACACATTGCTAAAATTCTACGACCAAATAAATAAAATCATATTTAGAGACGAGAGGAGAACTGGTTATTAGAAAGAAATTCATCTATGTCCAATCGAGATGCTGATCTTTTTTTTTTTTTTGGTACAGAGAAGGGCCTAAGCTCAGAAAACACACAAAATTAAGAAACTAAAGAGGCACGAGGCCTACCAACAGAAGAAATATTAGCTAAAAGCAAAAAGAAATGCCACTAGGAGGCACCCTAAAAAATAAAGTATCTACATCTTCCCCTTTATCTAAAATGAAATTGGCCAACCAATCCGCGCACATGTTGCCTTCTCTGAAAATATGACGCAGCTTAATGTTCCAATCTTTTTTGATCCAAGTCCGTATACGGGAGACAAGTTGACTCTTACAGACTGCTATACCAGAGCTGGATAGCAAAGTGATTGCACTGAAAGAATCACTTTCCAATTCAATATTACGAAATCCTTCCTTCCAAGCCAATTCTAGACCACAAAGGATTCCCCAAAGTTCCGCTTTATAAGAAGAACATTTACCTAACTTGTAAGCGAAACCATTTAACCATCTACCACTCTCATCTCGCAAGACTCCACCACAAGCAGCCGGACTAGGATTACCACGGGAGGCTCCATCAGTATTAATTTTTAGAGTAAACACCAATTTTGGTCCCTGGCAATATCTACTAAATCCTTTTTAGTCCCTGGCAATAAAAAAGGATCAAATTGGTCCCTAAAATTATGAAAAAAGGGTCACATTAGTCCTTATGTCAACTCCTCCGTCACTAACGTGGCCCTTTTTACATACTGTTAGGGACCAATTTGGTCCTTTTTTATTGCCAGGGACTAAAAAGGATTTCGTAGATATTGCCAGGGACCAAAAAGAGTGTTTACTCTAATTTTTATATAACCATTCTCAGGGAAATTCCAGAAAACAGGAATTATATTCGTACTAATACCCTGCCTATGCTTATTCACAACTTTAAAAGCATCATCATTCTCTTTAGTCAAGTCACAGATAGAGACAAGCCTAGAAGACCAGCTAGGAATTGAGATTCCATGACAAAATCATTACGCCACTTCCAATGCTTCCAGCAAGAAATAAAGAAAACAGACAACCAGTTGCTAGGTCCATTCAGTTTAATCCAGCCGAACAAATTGGATTTAATCCAATCCTCAAAGTTTTCCTCATGGCCAAATAAGAAGGAAACAGATTATTCCAAATCAATTTAACCTCATGGCAATCTCTTAAGGAGTGAAGAATTGAGTCACTAGCATTCTTACAAACAGGACACAAAATCGAAACCTCTCCCCATTTAGCAATAGATCCATGGTAAGTAATCTACCATGCAAAATTTTCCACATTAAAATCTTTACCTTCTGAGGGCCATTCCAATTCCACGAGGCTGACCATAACTCTTGCCTTCCATCCCAAGACTCACCCCTGTTCAAAAGAAAATCATATAAATTTCTAACAGAAACAGAAGGAGAGTTGATAAATTTCCAATATTTCCTGTCCGGACCATCATCTACACACGGGGGTAAGATATTCTGCAAGATACTGAGAGCAGTGGGATTAAGCCAATTTTTTAAAGCATTCCAGTTCCAACTGCCATCAACCAAGGACATATCAGCCACCTTCATATTCAAATCAATATCATAGGCATCAGGAAGAGTCATATTCTGAAGTAACCTGTCATCATCTAACCAAGTGTCTATCCAGAATTTAGTATCCTTTCCATCACCCAAATTCCAGCCAAGAAACTCTTCCAGAGACCTCCAAATTCTGCAAATATTCCTCCACAGAACCGAATCTCCGCTCTTCTCCACAAAAATAAGAGAGCTTCTATTATTAGCTGCATACTTGGCTTTAAGAACCTGTATACAAAGCTGGCCTTTGTCATTGAAGATTTCCCAAGCCCTCTTAGCCATGAAAGCATCATTCATCAATTCCAGCTTCTTAAATCCCAAACCTCCAGCAAGCCTTGGCTAAGTAATAGTCTTCCAGCTAATTAAATGATTCGTACGAGTTCCCTTATGGTCACCCCAAATGAAATCCCGTTGAATTCTTTCAATATCTTTACAAACAGCAGAAAGGATTTTGGTGCTTTGCATTTGCAAATAAGGCATTGCTGACATAACAGAATTAGCCAAGGTAATTCTACCCGCTTGAGATAAACAAACCTGATTCCAGTTATTAAGTTTTGATCTTACCTTCTCTATAATACCAGCATAGAGATCCCTCTTCATCCTACCATGTTGCATCATAGAACCAAGATAGCGCCCAACATTGTGAACTCTCTTGAAACCACTCAACTGCACAATATTAGAGATCAGATTCTCATTAGTATTTTTAGAGAAGAAAATAGAGGTTTTCTCCACACTGAGCTTGAGACCCGAAGCTTCCTCAAAGATATTCAGACACTTTAGCAACACATTCAACTGATCCACCGAAGCTTCCATGAAGACATAAGGTCATCAGCAAAAGCTAAATGAGAAATTTGGGGACTTGCTTTCCCAGCACGCATGGGTTTCCAAAGACCTCCATTGATTGCCGTTGATATAATATGGGACAGTTTTTCCATGGTAATAACAAACAAATAGGGTGAAAGGGGATCACCTTGACGAAGGCCTCTAGAGGGAGTGAATTCACTTGTTTTACCACCATTCCAGATCACATTAAACTTGGAAGATTTCACACAACACATAACCAGATTGATGAACTTACTAGGCAAGTCAACTTCTTCCAAAGCATGCTGAAGAAATTCCCAACTAAGACTGTCATAGGCTTTGACCAAATCAATTTTAATAGCCATGAAAGCTTTCATTCCCTTCATTTTATGCATTGAGTGAATCATTTCTTGAACGATAATGATATTGTCCTGAATTTGTCTTTGGGGTACAAAACTTGCTTGCCATAGAGATATGATTTTTTCCATAATAGGTTTCAGCTGATGAACCAAGGATTTAGAAACCAATTTATACAAAACATAGCATAAGGATATAGGCCGAAATTGGGAAACAGATTCAGGCCTTTTAACTTTAGGGATTAATACTAGTAGAGTAGAATTAAAATCAGAAACTAACTCAGGATTGGTCCAGATATTACTAACCGCCTTGTACACTTGCTGGTAGATTGAATTCCATTGCCTTTGGAAGAAAACAACAGGATAGCCATTAGCACCTGGAGCCTTATAATCACCAATACTAAACAGTAATTTTGCAACCTCTTGAAATCCTGGAGCTTTGGTCAAATCATCCTTTTCATTCATAGATAAACTAGGCCAACAATTAGGAGAAGAAATCTATCTTCGGTTCTGATTTTCCTCTTGGGACAAGTTCTCAAAAAATCTGCAAACATGATCTACAAGTTCCACTGGATCCTCAATCCACACCTGAGCATCCCTTCGAAGCCTTGATACTTTATTGATACTCCTCCGGATAACAGCCTTTGAGTGATAAAACCTTGTATTTTTATCCCCATCCACTAGCCAGCTATGTCTAGATTTTTGAAACCAAAGCAGTTCTTCATAAACTAATGTTTGGTCCAAATCTATCTGAACCTGTTTTTCCAATTCTTGAAGAAATTGAGAATCAGAATGGGTCCTATGCTGTTGAATGTCAGCAATCTTCCTCGAAAGGTTTTCTTTCTTTCTATGAATATCACCAAAAACAGTCTTGTTCTAGTATTGGAGATGAGGAGTTAGCTCTTCAAGCCTGAAATTAATCTCCCTCGAAGAATTCCAACTATCTTCCATGAAATCCTGAAATTTTGGATGATCCAACCAAGCAGCTAAAAACCTTGATGAGAAGAGGATTATGGTCAGAATTTAATCGAGGAAGGATTCTGACTTCAACATTTTCATACTTTAATCTCCAAAAAATATTGGCACAAGCTCTATCCAGCTTTTTAAAGACCCTATCTAAGTGGTTCCACTTTGGTCCCTGCCAAGTAAAACTAGAACCTGAAGTTTTAACATCCTCTACATGACAATCTTCAAGGAAATCAGCAAATCTCTGACATTTTACAGCATCTATTCTAGATCATCCTCTTTTTTCACTGTTAGATTTAATATCATTAAAATCCCCAGCTATAAGCCAAGGAACCGATAAACCCTGACTAAGATTTCTGACTTCATCCCACATAACCTGCTTATTCTCCTTCCTTGGACTAGCATATACAGCTGTACAAAGGAAATTCTCATGATGATTAATCTCAATCTTCATATGAATGAATTGAGAAGTTTGAGAGATAGGAGACACTGTTGCTCTTTTTGAATCCCAGATAAACCACAAGCCATCAGAAAACCCATTTGCTTCTTCAAATATGGCCTTATCAAACTTCAACTTCTTCAAAATAGGACTACACTTATCACTCTGAGCACGAGTCTCTAACAGAACTACAACATTGACATCATTTTTGTTTACAAACATCTTCAAAGTTCGACCAAATTTGGGGTTGGCCGCACCCCTACAATTCCAAATAAGAGTGGACATCAAGACACCAAGGGGGATGGAACAGGTTGGTCTTGAACCTATGACAAAATGCTCCTAGTCACATTTTTAGACTGATCAGTAGCCTTACCTTTAGAACCAACAGTAGGATGATTTGGCAAACTAGCACCACCAATAGCAATGCTGTCATTCTCTTTGCTTCGACCCTTATTTCCTTCCCCCTTACTTCCTAGGTCTAGAGGTTTTGGTTCAGGATCACCTTCTGCCTCCACCATTTGATGATCCTTTAAATGCATCATACTAGAATCCACTTCTAGCTCATGGTTTTGGATTGAAGACAGCTCATTCGAAAGTTGATTAGATTGCCCAGACTTATCAGATAATGAATCATCATGATGCTTCCAATTTTCCTAAAATCCTGCCACTCTCTTGTCTTTAACCCCTTCAGCTAGCAATGCTACATTATCTATTGTTTCCTCTTTATTATAAGCATCAGTAGCCTGAATATTATTCCACACTAATTGATAAGCTTTTGAAGTTTCAATAAGTGTGGCTGATGTGCCTCTGGCAAGTGTGATTTTCTGTGTTAAAATTGATAAGAATTGAGTCATAAAAGAGCAACTTAAATACATATTTGCTAATTATATTGATTCTTTCTTTTCAATAATATTTTTCACCTATTGATTGTGTTTTTACAGGAAAAAAAGTGAAAATTATAAAAAGCCTGTTGATGCATACCAGCGCCGGATTGGAAAAGTTGCATAGTACAATAGACAGAGAGTTGGCGCAAGTTGGCGCCAAAATGGCGCTCACCCGCGCCAGATTACGGACTCCAGAGCGGTAATTGGAAGTGGCGCCAACTGGCGCCAAAACATAAAAAAGCCACAAAGTGGCGCCAAAAGAAAAAAGTGGCACCAAAAGACATTAAGGTGGCGCCAAGTTTTGTGATGGTGACGCCATGTGGCGCCGATAAAGTAAGAAGATGGCGCCAACCGGCGCCTGTTACTTGCAATCAGGACCGGTTTTTGCAATTTGAGACAGAAGCTCCGCGCAAAGTGGCGCCGTACTGGCGCCAACTGGCGCCGGGTTGCGAGAAAATATTACCGTGTTTTCGCGGGGGTATTTTTGGAAGAAGAAAAATGGGCTTATAAATAGGATCCTCATGACAGAATTAGGAATTCAGACCTATTCTACCTAGGGAGACCACAGCAGAGTTCCGGGAGGATTCCGAAGATGAAGTTCTTCTTCATCCTTTCACTTTTATTTTATACTTTCATTGAATATTGAATTTTTAGCCATGACTATGCTTGGCTAGTACTTTTTATTGTAGTTAGGGTCATGAACCCTATATGAACCCTTGTTACGACAGATTGGTTTACTTTTACTCGTTTATTTAATTATCTTTGTCTCTACCCTATGCGTATTTTACATTTTCTTTATTTGAACCGATCAATCTAATAGTTGAAAATAGTTTGAGGGTTAGAACCCTATATAGGAATGTTGGGGTTTTAACCTTGAAAGGGGGTAAGATAATGGTTCATATGCATGCTAGGAATAGATGTGTGTTGAATTGCGGATGCCTAAATTATTAAATTCCTTGCTTAAGGCCATGAGGAATATTGCAAGGAATTGGGGTTCCTTATGGGATTAAAGGGTTAACCTTACAAGGAATTGAGGGTTAACTAATAATTATTTTAGATAATAATTTATCCGAGTAATTTTATAAATGAATATTTTTAAACCAATCCAAAGTAATAAGTGAGGATCATAAGGTGAGTGCGCTCTAGCTACAATGCTTTTCTCACATTTTAAAATCAATTCTCATTTTTATTGTCTATTTCTCAATATGAAAAATACAAAAACAAGTCTTTATTTTGGTTCTCAATTTTACACCAATCGACAATTATTTGTCACAACCCTTTTGAACTTTTCCATTCTTGAAAGGAATAATTAATTGGTATTCGACCCAATCCTTGTGGAGACGAACTTTACTTACTTTATATTACTTGTGCGATCGGTGCACTTGCCGGTGAGCATCAATTCTTATCAAGTTAGGGTCACGAACCCTATGTGAACCCTTGTTACGACGGATTGGTTTACTTTTACTCGTTTATTTAATTATCTTTGCCTCTACCCTATGCGTATTTTACATTTTCTTTATTAGAACCGATCAATCTAATAGTTTAAAATCAAGATAGGAACTTTGGGGTTTTGACCTTGAAAGGGGGTAAGATAACGGTTCATATGCATGCTTGGAATAGATGTGTGTGGAATTGCGGATGCCTAAATTATTGAATTCATTGCTTAAGGCCATGAGAAATATTGCAAGGAATTGGGGTTCCTCATGGGATTAAAGGGTTAACTTTGCAAAGAATTGAGGGTTAACTAATAATTATTTTAGATAATAATTTATCCGAGTAATTTTATAAATGAATATTTTTAAACCAATCCAAAGTAATAAGTGGGGATCATAAGGTGAGTGCGCTCTAGCTACAATGCTTTTCTCACATTTTAAAATCAATTCTCATTTTTATTGTCTATTTCTCAATACGGAAAATACAAAAACAAGTTTTTACTTTGGTTCTCAATTTTACACCAATCGACAATTATTTGTCACAAGCCTTTTGAACTTTTCCATTCTTGAAAGGAATAATTAATTGGTATTCGACCCAATCCCTGTGGAGACGAACTTTACTTACTTTATATTACTTGTGCGATCGGTGCACTTGTCGGTGAACATCAATTCTTATCAAGCTAGGGTCACGAACCCTATGTGAACCCTTGTTACGACGGATTAGTTTACTTTTACTCGTTTATTTAATTATCTTTGCCTCTACCCTATGCGTATTTTACATTTTCTTTATTAGAACCGATCAATCTAATAGTTTAAAATCAAGATAGGAACTTTGGGGTTTTGACCTTGAAAGGGGGTAAGATAACGGTTCATATGCATGCTGGGAATAGATGTGTGTGGAATTGCGGATGCCTAAATTATTGAATTCATTGCTTAAGGCCATGAGGAATATTGCAAGGAATTGGGGTTCCTCATGGGATTAAAGGGTTAACTTTGCAAGGAATTGAGGGTTAACTAATAATTATTTTAGATAATAATTTATCCGAGTAATTTTATAAATGAATATTTTTAAACCAATCCAAAGTAATAAGTGGGGATCATAAGGTGAGTGCGCTCTAGCTACAATGCTTTTCTCACATTTTAAAATCAAATCTCATTTTTATTGTCTATTTCTCAATACGAAAAATACAAAAACAAGTCTTTACTTTGGTTCTCAATTTTACACCAATCGACAATTATTTGTCACAACCCTTTTGAACTTTTCCATTCTTGAAAGGAATAATTAATTGGTATTTGACCCAATCCCTGTGGAGACGAACTTTACTTACTTTATATTACTTGTGCGATCGGTGCACTTGCCTGTGAGCATCAAGTTTTTGGCGCCGTTGCCGGGGATTGACGTTTCTTATATCGATTAATTTGATATTTAAGATTGAATTTTTATTTTATTTATTTATTTTGATATCTGTGATTCTTGAGCAGTGCTACTAATCCCTTTTCTGAGTTGTATGCGAGGTAAAGAACCAGAATTTCCACTTGATTTGGTGATTACAAAAACAGAGAAGAGGAACAGAAAACAATCTCGGAAGAAGCTTGCATTCGACGAGTCAAAACTACTGTCTCAAGAAACACAAACCACGGCAGCAAACAATGAAGAGGACAATCCTCTCATGGACACCATTCTGACTCCATTATTCAACAGGCCCAATGCGAGCTTTGTTCAGCCAAATATTGCCAACAATTGGGAGCTCAAGTCCTCCCATATCAATTTGGTGGAGAGAGCCCAGTTTGGAGGAGGGGAGAGTGAAGATCCTCACAGATTTGTTGACAGATTCTTAAGGATCTGTGACTCAACCAAACACCCACAGGTGTCTAATGATGCAATTCGGTTGAGGTTGTTCCCTTTTGCTCTTAAGGGAAAGGCTCTTAGTTGGTTAGAAAGGCAGCCTGCAGCAAGCATCTCTACATGGGATGATATGTCTCAGAAGTTCTTTGCTGAGTTCTTCTCAATGGAGCGGTACAACCAGATGGTGAATGACATCACCAATTTCACCCAGCTACAGGGTGAAACTATGTGTGGAGCATGAACCGGTTCAAGGATTTAATGAGGAGGTGTCCTCAGTATAACTTTACTTCTGGTAATCAAGTTAGAATCTTCTTCAATGGTTGCAAGCCTGAGACTCGGATGGTGTTGAATGGTGCAGCAGGTGGCACTATTAAAACTTTGAGAGCAAATGAGACTCTTGAGTTGATTGAGAGGATGACAACCAATGAAAATGAAGTGATGTCATCAAAGCCTAAGAGAGGTATCCTTCAACTGGAAGGTAATGATGCAGTGCTGGCTGAAAACATTATGCTATCTCAGCAGGTAGCAAACCTGACCTCAAGGCTTGATAAGATGCAGCTTGCTGGTGTTCAGACAAAAACTGCCGCAGTTGTTTGTGAGTACTGCCAGGACGATCATGAATCTAATGAATGTCCTACCTTGATGGCTCCTGATTCACCTCAACAAGTACAGGTAAATGGGGTTTGGTATGAGGAGAAGCCCCAACAAAATTTTCAAAGAAATCAGAATTTTCCTGGCGGAAATAATTTTCAGCGGAGAGGTCAAGCAGGTGGTCTTGACTATAGTTCCAACAACTATATGCAACCTCCTCCTATTCCACAGAAGGAACCTTCTGATTTGGAGAAGCTAGTAGGACAAATGGCTCAACACTCTAATGCTTTCATGGAAGAGACTAGGGCCAGCACTAAAAACATGAGTGCTTCTATCAGAAATTTGGAGAATCAAATTGGCCAGCTGGCTAAGCAAGTTGCTGATAGAACTCCAGGCACTTTCCCTAGTAACACAGTTACAAATCCCAAGGAGGATTGCATGTTTGTCACAACTAGAAGTGGGAAAATGATGACAGCTCCAGAAAAGCCGAGCAAAATTGTGGAAGCTAATGAGAAGGTGAAGGAGGTTAAGGAGCCAGAAAAAGAAATTGAAAACCCTGTTGAAGTGGAGAAGTCGGCTGAAAAGAAGAAATTTGAGCTTGATCCTAAATATGTGAGAGCCATGGCACCTTATCCTGAAAGATTCAAGAAGGATGCTCAGAAGCAACATTATGACAGATTTCTTGATATATTCAAGAAATTGCATGTCACCATTCCTTTTGCTGAAGCCTTGTCTAGCATACCCAATTATGCCAAGTTCATGAAGGACTTGTTATCAAGAAATCA